GGATCCTCAAAGTACGGCTTGAGTAAGTTCACGTGGAACACTGGGTGCATCTTCCCCATCTCTTGAGGAAGTCGGAGTTGGTAAGCCACTTTACCGATTCATGCCTCAATCTCGTAAGGCCCCGCGAACCTGCTTAAGGAACTCAAGATCAATTCATTTACAGGAATACATGTGTTTTTACCTTTGGGTCAACTTTCGGCTGATCCCACTTGGTAGCCTGAGGTTCTTGGTGTTAAGCCACACCTTCTCCCCAGCTTGGAACTCTATATCCCGGCGCTTCTGGTTCGCGTACTTGGTTTGCCTTTGTTGCGCCCGTTCCAAGGAATCCCTCACTAGATTCCAAATGTTGAGTCTTTCCGCCGTGAATGCCTCCACTACGGGTAGCTCTCCATGATACTCGGCCACGCCGAGTTCCATAGGACCTTTAATAGCTCGCCCATTGATGACTTCCCATGGACTCACCCCGATACTCGAATGTGGTGAGTTGTTATAACACATTTCCGCAAGTCCCAAATGACTTACCCAATCGGTCTGGTCTACCGAGACATAGCATTGCAAATAATCCTCCAGCTGCCTATTCACCCTTTCCGTTTGTCCGTCTATCAAGAAGTGTTAGTGCCACCAAACTTGACTTAATACCCCATACTTGTCTGTGGGTGATAAGCTGTGCTGAATTTCAACTTGGTGTGATACTGTTCCAAGAGAGTCCTCCAAAACCTATTAGTGAAGATCTTATCTCGATCTGAGATGATCTCTTCTGGCCTTCCCCGCACTCGAACCACTTGTTTGAAGAACAGCTTCGCCACACCTTCCGCATCCACTTCCGTTATGGTGGGTATGAAATATGCCATTTTCGAAAATTGGTCCACCACCACGAATATTGCATCAAACCCCTCGCTTGGGGGAAGTCCCGTGATGAAGTCCATCGTAAGACATTTCCACGGACGATCTGGAATTGGGATGCTTTGCAACAAACCCCCACTAGCCTTAGTCACGGCTTTGACCTGTTGACATGTTGGACATATCTTTACATAATCTTGGACATCCTTAGCCATATCTGGCCAATGGTACTTCCTCTTGAGTAAGCCCATCATCTTGGGCACTCCGCCGTGTCCTGCAAGAGGTCCGTCATGACACTCTTCTAAGGCTACCTTCCTTAGTTCCCCTTCTGGAACATACACCCTCGTTTGCTTGTAATAAATGAGTCCGTTGCGTTCCGCATAGCCTGTTTTCTCTTCTGTTGGCAATTCACCTCTCTGGTGAGCTTCCCGCGCCTCTAGATTCCTCAGCAACACTTCTTGTG